TGTGGTCCGTGAGCCCTAAGCTCGTGTGGCCATCGCACCCAGCAGAGAAGGCGAGCGTGCCATGGGAGGGACAGCTGGTGTGAGAACTGGTAAAAAGGCTGGAGGGTGGTGGTGTTTCTGACTTTTGTCTCTTAGGAAACAGCTCTGGGCTTTTGCTGTTGACTCTTCTGTCTCCTCCTTATAAAGCTGGATGAGGTCAGAAGACATCACCCCCACTGCCCCCACGCCCCTTCTGTAAGGTTGACTAGTGTCCCCAAAAGGCTGAAGGCCTAACCCCTAGTACCCATGAACATGACCTGTTGGGAAACAGGGCCTCTGAAGATGCGATGGGTTGACACAAGGTCACACTGGAGCAGGGCGGGTCCTACTCCAATACGAGTGGTGTCCTGATAAAAGAGGAGAAGAGAGAGAGGGAGAGGAAGAATTCCACATGAAGATGCACCTAGGAGCCAAGGAACGCCTGGAGCCACAGACACTGGAGAGACAGGGATCACAACAGCGAGGAGAGATTAACAGATTTCTCCAAATTTAGGGCAGAAGAAAACAGTGAAAGAATGCTTAAAAAACAGAATCTGAGTAATTTACTTTAGGCTAATTTGTTACACTCTGCATATAAAACACCCATAGTTTTATATGGTTTCAAGCACCCACAACAACATATTCAGACATTAAAAAATAAAATCTCAAAGCTCCAAAATAGGAACTAGATGGTCCAGATTCTCTGAGAATATACTAAAATCAGGAACTTACAAAAATCTACCTGAAAACTTTTTCCTCTGTAAGGACAAAGAGAAAATGAGCTTTGATCACAGCTATTGAAAAAATACGGAAAAATGTTACAAGGATGTGGGCAAAGCTATCCTCAAAGGCAAATTAATAACCTTGGAAGTTTATATTTTTAACTAAGAAACAAATGAATTAACCATTCACCCCGAGAAACCAGAAAAAGAAGAGCAAAAGAAACAAAGAAATAAAGATAATGACAGACATAATGAAATACTAAAGATGACGAGAACTAGGGGGTAAAGCTAAGAAACCACTCTCTGAAAAGACCATGAAACAGATGCTCTAAGGAGCCTGCACTGAGAGGGAGGGAAGGCAGGCAGACTCAGGGGCATGTAGGGTGCATGGCCAGAGTGGGGTGGTGGATGTGGGGCACATGGGGTGTGCGGCCAGCACAGGGCAGTGGACATGGGCTGTGGAGGACATGTGGCCAGTATGAGGCAGTGGACATGGGATACGCAGGGCATATGGCCAGTGCGAGGTGGTGGACACGGGACATGCGGGGCATGCGGCCAGTGTGGGGCAGTAGATGTGGCCAGTGCGGGACGATAGACACAGGGCACATGGCCAGAGTGGGGTGATGGACATGGGGCATATGGGGTGCGTGGTCAGTGCAGGGTGGTGGACGTGGGACCCATGGGGAGTGTGGCCAGTGCTGGGCAGCGATGCTGACCAGGCCCAGGTGTACTGACCTGATGAGCGCCTTCAGGATGTCAGCCCTGCCCACGCGTGAGGCATGATAGACGGGGGTGCTACGGTGGTGCCGGCTGCCGTTGGGGTCTGCGCCAGCTTCCAGGAGGATCTGAACACTCTCCAGGTGCTCATTCACCACAGCCACATACAGGGCAGTCTGCCCCTTGACGTCCACCAGGTCAACCTCCGCCCCCTTTCGGATGAGAAAATCCACACAGTTCCCGTGGCCAGCGGTGGCCGCGATGCGCAGTGGCGTGCAAGGGAGCCAGCCGCAGCACCAGACAGACTTCTCATTGATACGGCTGCAGAAGGAACACAGAGAAGCCAGGCTGTGAGGGCAGCCCTGGGATGTGGACCAGCTGCCCTGCCCTCCCACCCTGGTGGCGAGAAACAGACCTGGAGGCTCCCACCGGCTCTGGGACGTGTCCTCACAGGCGTACCCCACTGAGCTGCACTCAACAGGCAGGGACTGCGAGGCCTGTGTACACACTGACTGACGCACTCCAAGATCAGAGCTCAGACCTCCTCCCTGTGGTCAGGAGCGTGCCTCTCTCCGCCACGAGGGCACTGCAGGACAGTGGACACCACACAATGGAGGTCTGAGGTCAGGGGCCCAAGGCCCCTTCACCAGTGAGCACCTGAGAAGGCCCAAGGCTGGGGCCAAGGGACCACTGGGACAGCCATGCAGAAACCCCTGACAACATGGGGCCACCCTCCTGGCGACAGCAGCAGAGGGAAGCTGTGCAGACCAGGCCTGGTGTCAGTGCAAGCAGACCCTGAGACACCCGCTGGGGTGGTTCAGTTTATATGTCAACCTGGCTGAGCCTGGTGGAGTGGCTGGGCAGCTGGTGGTAGTTAGTCCCCATAATGAGACTGGCAATCAACTCCATGGTGGGATCTACCACAAGCAGCTGAGTAGCTGCCTTTGGGATGTGGTCTGCTTCCTGTATATAAGCAGAAGCCTTGGGAATGGTCTCCAGCTTATGGCACGCTTGAACCCTGCATGTAGCTGTGTCGATGTGCAGCAGCCTGCCCTGCTCTGCCGACCGTGGGACTTACAACGGACTTGAGTTACTGCCCTGCCGTGTGGTTTGGTAACACCACAACTGTGCCATTTTATTTGTCAACCTTGGGCCTGCTAGCCTCAGCAGCTAGTAGCTGTCTAAGCGAAGAGATGCCTCAAGCTTCAGTGGGCCGGAAGCAAGAGGCAGAGCCGAAGCCCAAGGCTGAGGGACTTTCACACAGCCCCGAGAGCCTGGCACTTTGAACTTGGACTTCTAGCTTCCCGAACTATAAGAGAATAAACTCCTGTTTGTTAAGGCCATCCCATTGGTGGTATATTCTTGGCAGAGCGGCACTAGGGAACCAGAACACCTGCCAAGGCCCACCACATGCCGAGTCACCAAATCACCAACCAAGCAAGGCACACGCACCCTCTTCAAGCTGCAGCTCAATACCAGGCTTGGGCTCCAGGAACACCCCGGGCACCCTCTCCTCAAACAAGCCCGGGGCCTCCTGCAGCTGGGCACAGGCTTCCACTGGCCAGGACAGCCCAGGAATATCGCCAAGGACTCAACACCAAAGGCAACCAGCCGGCTACCGCTGCATTGACGGTGACTCACAGTGACCCCACGTGCGTGAGGACTGGGCTCCACTGGGCCTTCGACGGCTGTGACCTCACAGAAGCACAGTGCCAGGCCTTTCTTCCACAGCTCTTGGGTGGATTCGAACTCCAAACTTCCAATGAGTAGCCGAGCACAAACTGTCTGCACCACCCAGGGACCAAGGAAATAAAAAGCAACCAAAAATATCAAGAAATGGGGAGACCCATGAACCGGAGCATGAGGAGAAATGAGAAACAGTGCTTGGAGAGCTGTGTGAAGGTGAGCGCTTCAGTCCACTGTGGCACCTGCAAGTTCAACTAAGGGTGTCACGGGCTTCAGTCATTCACGTTTAGTGGCCCACCCAGCTGATGCCTCTGTGTGACAATCCCTCCCGGGCACTCAGGGCCTCTGTTTATACTGCTGTCTGCTGTGATGGAATGTGTCTCTGTCCCACGTGGAGCCTTCTCGTGAGAAGAAAGGTGGCATGACTTTCAGCACTTCTCCTCTGCCTACCCACTGCCACTGCAGTCCTAAGGGGAAGTAAACACCGGCCAAGCATGGAGGGGCCTTCATCTGCAAGCCCGAGACAGTGACCCCCCCCCATGGAGGGTCCAACAAGGCGGCCTCAGCAGCGCCGACCTCCAGGGCCCAGGACCCAGTGGTGTGCTTACCTCCGGTAGCTCTCCTCTTCCAACAGGTGCCTGAGGGTCTGTAGGTCCCCAACGTAGGCTGCGTCATGGAGCCTCGTGTCCCCACACTGCTCCAGAGGGTGGTCACAAAACTGGTCCCTCAGCCACTCCTTCAGATTCCGACCTGCACTGAAGAGAGGGGCACCGTCATCTCGGGGAACCTGCTGGGGCCCAGCCACCCTCAGGAAACCAATCATCTAGAGCTCTGAAAAGGCAGACACTTCCCTTACGAAGCCAGCACAGTCGACACCAAACCTGACAAAAATGACACAAAAAGTTGAGGAGGGGAGGGGAAATGAGCCAACCCATTTAATAAAGAGCCTCAATAAGACAACAGCAAATTGAAATCAAAACCATGCACCAAAAATCCACCCTCCGATCACTCAAATCTATCCCAAGAGCTGGGCAGCTCTTCCCCGGGGGTATCCTGAGTCCCCCCCGAGGGGCTCATCTTCCGGCACTGTATTGGGCAATGCTCCAGGGCAATTCATCAAGTTTTCCAGTAATGTATCAGACAGTGTCTCACTGCCATTCACGAGGTTTTCACCAGCCAGTGCTTAGAGAAGTGGATGGCCCCCCGTCCTTCTTCCCAATCTTAGTCTGGAAGCTCCGCTGAAACCTGTCTACCCTGGGTGACCCTGCTGGTGTATCAAATGCCAGTGGCACAGCCTCCAACCTCACAGCCTCGCACATGCCACCATGATGTGACAAACTGACAGACAAGTGGTGACCCAAACACATAGAAATATCTTAATCTTGGGAGAAGGGACACAGCCGTCTCCTCCATTACAAAAAGACTTCTGGCAAAATCCCCCAGCCTACAAACGCTGCTCTTTGCAACAGAAGACTCTCGCCACCCTGGTGTGGGTGATGACCACCGGGATGTGTACCTAAGTAACAGCTCCTTGGGAGGACACTTCACTGTACAAGTTATACTTCAATAAAAAGGCAACCTGAGCTATGTAGAAAGCCAGGTCTACGGGACGAAGGTGAGGGCAGGGGTGTTCGGTGGTGGAATTCTCGCCTCCCATGCAGGAGGCCCAAGTTCAATTCCCAGCCAATGCACCTCACACGCGGCCACCACTGGGCATCAGGGGAAGCCTGTGTGGCACTGTGAGGCTCAGCAGCTGTCACAGACTAACCGGGAGAGGGCCCTGACGACCCACTTGCAGAAGTCGGCGAGAGCGCGATGATCTGATCCACAACTGACCCGGGGCTGGCGCAGGACCGGGCAGAGTTTCCGTCCACCGTGCACGGGGTCGCCGCGAGCTGTAGGCCAACTCGAAGGCAGCTGACAACCACAGCAACGTAACCAAGACTAAAAAGCTAAGAACCAGTCAGACCGTGAGCAACGCAGAAACCAGGTCCCGTTCTTGGATGAGAAGAGTCAATCTCACGGATGTATCCAATGGACCAAATAAACGAACAAGTTTGACAGCTCTCTTTGGGATCTTGGCTTCAGATGCTGCAAAAATACCCTAAAGTTTATTCAGAAATATAGAAGAGACTAGCTTTTCACTTCTTGTCTAAGAGTGATGAGAAGTAACTGACAAAACATTCTCCCAACAGAATTAAAAATCAATTAATTCAAGCCGAAAGAACAGTCCAGAAAGACCGCAGATAACTAACCTAACACAAGGAAACAGGTCGGAGAGCCAGCGAGGCTGGGACAGCATACAACCTGTGGTTTGTACCCTAAGACACCTACTTGAAAATAACTTTGTTCCTCACCTTTCCCTACAGCCCAAAATGGATTCTAGACAAATGAAGGGTCTTGTATAAACTAGACAGGTGCAGAAGAGCATGAGCTCAGACTGCCTAGACGCCAGTCCCCACTCCATCACGTTATACCAGCAGGAGACCAAGCGTGCAGTCGCAGCCTGTCATTGCTACTCCGGGATGGATCCCATCCAGGTGCTACACTTATCATTAATCACTCCTTGTCCTCCAGGACCCAGCAGTCTTAGCAAAGTAAGGTGCAGGTGACAGGCATGTGGGTGGGGCAGCAAGGGTTCACAAACATGGGGTCACACATTGATCCCACATCTGGAACCTGCAGCAAGTCAGCAGGCTGGTGTCTTGCCATCCCAGTCCCCCCTCGGTCAGTACCAGACACCAATCCAGTTTAGCTAAGTTGCCTTCAACTTACAACCCTGTGTGTGTCAGAGGAAGTCTACTCTGTAGGGTTTTCAGTGGCTTAGTTTTTAGATGGAGAGTGACATGTGTATCTCTGGGTGGACTACTGTTTGCACTACCCTACAAAGCAGAAAAAAATAAAAACAACACACTGCCTTTGAGTCACATCCAACTTGTAGCGACCTTTCCTTGGGTTTCCGAGGCGGTATCACTACGGAAGTAGACTGCCCCACCTTCCTTCCAAGGGGTGGCTGGTGGGTTTGAACCGCCAGCCTTCTGATTAGCAGTTAAATGCCTCAGGCACTGTGCCACCAGCGCTCCCTGCACTACCCCATAAACCAAATAAAAAAAAAACCACTCACTGCTATCGAGTCAAATCCAACTCAAAGTGACTTCCATTGGGTTTTCGAGGGTATAAATCTCCACTGAATTAGATCGTCCCACATTCCCTCCATAAAGCAGCTGGTGGGTTTGAATCGTTGACCTCCTAGTTAGCAGCCAAATGCCTTATCCATCATGCCTTGTAATCACCCCCTGATCACAATTACTGTGGGGGGAAGACCCAAGTGGGGGCGGGTAAGACGCAGAGGGTGTGGCCAACAGGTAAACAGGGGCCCAGGGCCTTTCATGGAGTTCTCAGGTGGGGCTCTGTTTGCTGGCTTCACTTCAAGGGTCCCTGATTCAGCTCCATGCCAGCTCCCCTTCTCTGAAACTCCAGCTCCAAAAACAACTCGAAATCTCTGTCTTTCCGCCCAGCTTCTCAACAGGTGCAGCGCTTAAAGCACTTGGCTGCAAACTGAAAGGTGAGCGGCTTGCACCCACCAGCTGCTCCTTGGGGGAAAGATGTGGCCCGTTTCTGCAAAGGTTTCTGCCATGGTCACCTGATGGGGTACCACTGCCACTCTGGAACAGACAGCTGCTACGAGTCGGAATCAACATGATGGCCAGGAGTTGGGGTTTTGGTCTCCAGAGACAATACCAACTATGCCAGGATAGCACTTAAGCTTTAACCAGAAATCTGTGGCCGCTCCATCCCCAGGCCCACCACACACGAAACAAGCCAATACCACAAGCGGGTTAAGAAGCCCTGCATTTAGGGCAAAGCCAGTTTCTTCCACAGGATGGGCCTCTGCACCAGAAAAAGCTGTCAGGGCTCCTCTATTTCCAACCGAACACCTCATAGGACATGCCAGCCCAGACCCTAAAGGTCCTGACCATCCCTGATCCAAGTCAACACCAACCCCAAACCCTGACTCGCTCTTACTGACGCAGCCCCAACGGGACCCAGCAAACAGATCATCAGTGAACGTGTGGGATGGACGGAGGAAGCTCCGAATTACGGCCCGCGTTGGACAGCACTTACAGGCGAAGTCCTGAGCGCACGGTGGCGTTCGGTTCCCATGGTTAAGTTCAGAGAGCACGCCAGGCGGGACTTCCGCCCACCAGGGACCTCTCCTCTCGCGGCCTCGGAGGAAGACCCTGCTGGATTCTGCGGTAAACAAACTCTCTCTCCCTGCGGCCTCTTTTGTTCCCCGAAGCCCTCCAGGACTGGGAACTCCCCCAGCCCCCTCCACTGCCACCGAAAATCTAGGATGTGAAAGACTAACTTCGCGGGCAAACTCGTACAGCAGGCATCATTCCGGGGGAGACGCACCCCAAAACAGACGGCTATCTTGGGCGGTGGGCGTAAACCCCCCCAGCTGCCTAAACCCCGCCAGCTCAGGGCCGCCTCCTCTGCCGGCACCAGGGCCCTGGGCACGCTGTGTCACTGACAGTGCGCTGGCAATGGCGTTATCGCTGGCCCTCGTCTGTGCAAGGACCGGGTACCCCGCGCCCCACCCTGGGCTTGCCCGAAGAGGCGCCATGGGGAAGGTGCCTGCCCGTCTGGGGCCGCCCTAGATGCTCCACGTTTACTTTTAAAGTTCTGCGCTAACGGGCTGCCGGGTAATGCGACTCCACGAAAGAAAAGCTGCCGCAAGTGTCGCTCCCGAGAAGCCGACAAGCGGGCTCCTAACTCTGCCGGGCCGCCCCGACCACGGCCGGCTCCGCGGACCGCAGCCCCTCGCTGCGCACACGCTCCGCGGCCAGCGCACGTTACCTGCGGGCCCCGGCCCGGCCCCGGCCTGCAGGCCCGCCTCGGGGCGCTCCTCGGGGCTGCTGCCCTCCGCCATGGGCACGCTGGCCTCGGCGCGTCGGCAGCTCCCTTCCCAGCGGCCCTAACCCGCGCCGCCGGTCGGTCGGTCGGAAACAGCGCGACCGGCCACTTCCGGAGCCGCGAGGGGGAACCAGTCGCAGCGTGAGTTCCGGCCGGCGGACTTCCGGCCTGGCGCAGGGCGGGTTTCCGGGCCTTCGCCCTCACAGGCGCCGGCCTCCCTCTGTGAGAAGCAGGGGTGAACCAGAGCCGGCTCCGGGAGCGCTGGTCGTGGTGCGCGCTGGGCTGGGGGGCGCGGGCTGCAGCTGTTTCTCCTAATGCAATGGAGGAGTCTGGGAAAACACGCCCAGCCGAGCGTGGGGCTCGGGCGGAGCCTAATTTGCATGCTCCTGGGAACGCTGGTTTACCCGCGGGAGGGGCGTGGCCTTCGCCCTGCGTGGGTGGGGCCGAGAAGGGGCTGGGCGCGGTGGAGGCTTCCAATCCCGCCCGGCCCGCTGAATCCTAGCGGGTTGTTTGGGCCTTATCTGGAGGTCACGGCTGGCACTGGTGTTGAGACCAAGCCACAGGCAAAGCTCCTGATAAACTTCATGGTTTTGTGGTTCCTCCGGAAAAAGCAATTCCTGTTTTTGCTGTAGATTAACTCATGGCTTGGGCAATGGTCAGCGCAAGTAGGTAAAAGGGTACCTTTTTGGTGAAAGACGCGCCCCCGCGTGGAGCACTAGTGTGGGAATACGATGTAAACTTTTTCAACAGCACGCGCTTTCAGCGTTTGTATACGTGTAACATGCAACAAACCCAAAAGCCGAACTCGCCACCATCAAGTTGACTCCGACTCATAGCCAACCCTCTTTGGGTTTCCAAGGCTGTAAATCTTTACGGAAGCAGACGGCCCCATCTTCTGAGGACCTTTTGGTTAGCAGCCAATTGCCTTACCACCACCAGAGCCCCTTAACATGCATCTAAACTGGTGATAAAAGGAGCTTGGTGGCACAGTGGTTAAGACACTCAGCTGCGAATCAGAAAGTGGGTGGCTCAAACTCCATCCGCTGCTCCTCCGGAGAAAGAGGAGGCAGTCTGCTTCTGTAAAGATTGACAGCCTTGGAAACCCTGCGGAGCAGTCCTACTCTGAGTCAGAATTGATTTGATGGCAGTGGTTTAGGTTTTTTGGTCACCTTACCTAAACATCCCATACAACCAGCAAAGCACTCGCAGAGGGCAGACAGAATCAGGTGGGATCCCTCCGTCTCCCTTAGTGACTGAAGAGTAACGCCCTCTCCTTCCCTCGCCTTGGGGCGGCTCAGTCTGCAGGAGTTGCACCTGCAGGGACCCGTTTTTAGATAACATTGTGCCCCATGCAGGGCCATGAGCTGTGACAGCCCCAGAGGCTGGATTCAAAGGTGGGAGGTACAGATGTCATACTGTGTACCCCGGGCACTTGGGGACAGACATGGCACGTTAGCCAGACATTAGAGGAATGCGCCTCCAAACACGGCAAAGCAGGGACTTGTCTGCAGAAGTGCTTGTTGGATGGGTGAATAAATTAATGAGCTAGCAAACAAATGACTTCCCGAACACACCCATGTTCAAATGTCAGCAATGTTGCCAAACTCTGTTTGTTGAGTTGGGTTCTTAAGGATGGGTGCCCTTGGCTTGGGCTACACTCCTGGAGTTAGAGCAAAGCCTCCATTCGGCAGATGGCAGAGGGGGTACTGCAGGGAGGAGTGGCAGGCCTGGTCCGGGTGTTGGAGGTGGGGACTGCAGGAACGGGTGCCTGTGCGCCCCCACAGTTGTGGGTGTGCTGGACTGTGTGGTGCAATGAGTCACTTCTCCACGGCCCTTCTAGCCACAGTCTTGTAGTAACCCCCACCAAAGGCTGGGGGGACCCCCACCAAACGACTGGGGCGACTGTGCACATCAAGTGCTTGCAGCCCACCAAGGGAATCAAGCGGCTTGCTAATTGTGCAAATAAGGTTGTTGTTGTTGTTATGTGCCATCGAGTCGGCCCCAACTCTCAGCGACCCCTCCTTGGGTTTCCGAGGCAGTATCACTACGAAGTAGGTTGCCCCATCTTCCTTCTGAGGAGTGGCTGGTGGGTTTGAACCTCCAACCTTCTGGTTAGCAGTCAAGTGCCTTAGGCACTATGCTACCAGAGCTCCTAAATAAGGTGTAGGAACCCTAACTAGGGGATTGGTCAGTTTTGCCATCCCACTAGCCTTAAAAGTGTTTCTGTATGAGTTGCAATCAACTCCATGGCAATGGATGGGCAGGTGAGCCAGCCCAGAGGTGGACAGAGGGGACCTCATTACCAACAAGAAGTGGCTCAGGAGCAGAGTGCATCCTTTGGACCCAGAGTCCCTGTGCTGAGAACCTCCTAGACCCGGGAGACAGAGCTGTCACACCAGGGACGGCAAGGAGCAGCGGCCGAGAAATGGTGGCAGCAGGGCCAGGAGGCGGCGTGACTGAGCGCAGTGCACGGTGAGTGCCACCCGGCCCGAGGCTGGCTGTTGCAGTGGGGTGCCCAGTGCACATACTGGGGGAGCTGAAGAGTTTCGGAGCATTTGCCCAAGCAGGGCAGAGGCCAGGCCAAGGGCTGAGAGGCTGAGGCAGAGGGAGGTGCCTGTGGACACAGCAGGAAAGCAGGGGCCTGGCCTGAGGAGCCGTCTCCTGAGTCGTTTCTGATCCTGAACTGTAACCGGTTGCTGCTCCAATAAACCCACAATCCTGGGGAGTGTCTGTGAGTGTGTGTGGTCACTGCAGCAAACTATCAACCCAGAACCCAGCAGAGAGCAGAGTGCTGTGCAAGGGATGGCTGGTGTCAGGGGGCAGCATGTCTGACCTCCATCCCCAGGAACTGCTTTGGCTGTGATCTCGATCCTCCTCCCGCCTTGTGAAGTCACAGGGGGTCAGCCGCCGCCCCCACAGGCTGTTATCTCAGGAGGAGGAGGCTGGAGTAGAGGAAGGCCGCAGATGCCCACCTGGGTGTGGCCCCGTGAGGCCCAGATGGCCTGCTGAGAATGCAGCAGGCCCTGCAGGTGTTTGGAGCTGATAACAGCAGCCAGTGTTGCTGGCGTGGGGCTCGGGTGACACTGAGGAACCTACACACAGGCCAGGGTGACAACAAAGACCCCACACACGGACCAGGGTGACACTAAGGAATCTGCACCCAGAGGCCTGGGCAACAGTGAGGACCCCAATGACACGGAGGACCCTGCACCCAGGGGTCAGGGTGACAGTGAGGACCCTGCACCCAGGGGCCCACGTGATGATGAGGATCCCACACATGGGGACCCCAATGAGGACCCTCCACCCAGGGGTCAGGATGACAGTAATGACCCTGCACACAGGGGCCCAGGGGGCCCAGCTCACTGACTCTCTGTCTACTGCACATGACCAACACTGGGGGTTTGAACACCCGACCTGTGATGGTGGTAGAATGATGCAGTAAATGATAGTGGAGGCTGTTGTACATGTACGAACATCACCCAGGATGTGGAACAAGATGAGTCAAACTCGCTGAATTGCTAAGTTCTCGTAAGTATGTTTTTACCACCAGGGAAATAGCAGCCTGGGTCACCACCCGGGGGTCCGATGCCCTTGGCCTTTGCTGTGGACTGGGGGTCAGGACCTTCCACGGCTCCTGGCGACTCTGCCTTGCTGGCTTCCTGTCCCACAAGGCCCACAGTAAGCATCCTGTTAGTGGCCTTGGCATCTTCGTATGGACCTGGCTGGGCAGAGCCTGCCCCTGGCTCTTGGGTTGCCCTGGGGGTCCTGTGTTTCTGAGTCATGGTGGGAGTGGGCTCTTACACACCCACCTCACCCTGCCCCAAATGCCCATGGTGCACCTCACGTCCCTTCACGGCAGGTCTTCGGTGCCATCAGATATGGGGAGGGACATCTACTGTCCACCTCACACTCTGCCAAACCATGACACGATTCTCAGAGTACACTATGGTCAGAGAGGCCCAGGACTGAACCCGCAGGGGGTAGGATGGCAGGACTCAAACCCAAGACCGTCTCTCCCTCAGCCTGTACCTTCTCTGGCCCCCACCCCTTCCTATGACCCACCCCACTAACGAAGAGATGGCCAGTCAACTCTGGACCCCACCCATCCGGACCGTGCCACCACAGCCGCAGGCATGGGCTGGGCCACACCGGCTCAGGCAAGGGAGGGGCTGTCTCTGCGGCACCCTGGCACCCTGTGGCCCAGACCTCCCCACAGCCACTTGCTCATTTAGGTCCCCAAAATAAAATAAAACACCCAGTGTCCCCAAATGGCCCCTCGAAGTCAAGCCTCGTATTCTGAAGGATAATAAGCTGCAGTCTATCGAATGCCTAAGACGTCCATCACCCTTAACAGAAAACCCCCACCCTGACCTTGACCCCAAGGAAGGGATCAGATGCAGAGAGACAGCCACAGAGGGACACAGCCATAGGAGGAGATAGTCCTAGGCAGGGCACAGCCACAGCCCAACACAGCCACAGCCCAACACAGGCACAGTGGTTCTCACTGAGCGTGGTTCTCATAGGAAATGCCCAACACGAGGCCTTCCGCTTCAGTAGCTTGGGGAGGGGCACGCAGTCTCCACGTTTCACACGTCCTGGCCCCCTCCTCGTCTCTTCCACACACACACTCCACGGAATCCGAGGCCTTTTCTGGAAACTCACTGTGGGTACTGGGGGGCAGCTAGGAGGCCCAGGGATGCATTCCCCACCCAGGCTGGAGTGCTGGGTGCTGTGGGCAGCTCCCCGGGCCCACCCTGGGGACTCGGACGGCAGTAAGTGGTGTGGACACTGGGACCAGGTCCTGGGCCTGCGGGCTGGTCTCTCTGGAGGGATCCCCTTTGCCCACTCCTCCCTCCACCCTCGGCCTCCAAGGAGGACACGTGGATTCTTGGGGTTCTCCGAGACAGAGGCGGCTCATTCCTGGGCTGTCCCCGAGAACACTTGGCCAGCCTCTGTTCAGCAGTGCGCCTGGCCCGAGCCCCCGCGGGGAGGGACATCCAGCCCCAGGGCCTTCTT